TGAGGAGCAGTAAAAGTTCCTGGTTTGCTGTTATTGGACATGCTTTAAAGACAAACACATCAGACTACTCAAAAAAAGTGAACTTTTTGACTAGTAATAATGTTCTTAAAGGAAAGTTTGCAAGATTTTAGTATTGCAAGAGTGTAGGACTTCTTCCCTATATTCTTCACTATTTGCTTTAAGCTTGCTATAGGAAGAATAAAATTGATAAAAAAAAACATTAGTTGAACTCTTTGAGAGATAAACAAGAAGTACATATGAATAAAAAAATGTATTAAAATGAGTACATCATATAAATTTTTTATTTATGTAAAAAATTGACAATATCAAAGCAAACCAAACGTTGTTGCATAGTGCAATGCAGAAAATTATATCCATTTGAGTTCTGTTAGGGTTAGTTATTGTAGATGGTATTGTGTATAATGCCCAACTCTCCACCTAGCAACTCTTATTTTCCTCTAGTGCCCTTAGTGGCTAGTGGCTCCTCTAGTGGCTCTTACTTTCCTCCAATGCAACATATCTCCTCCCTCCAACACTCTTCCTGTAGCAACTCTCCTCCATGTCCTCTAGTGCTCCTCCTGCAACAACTCTCTTCCACATTGTACTTTTGCCAATTCTACTCTTGGATTTTTTAGTTTTTTATTTATTTTCATCAAATCATTCTTTCTCACCCTCTAGCTCCTCTAAAACCCCTTGTGCATTGAGTCTCCTCCAGCTCCTCCAGCACTCCTCCTATAACAGCTCTTCAGCTCCTCCAGCATTTCTCCTGCAACAGCTCTCCTCCAACTCCTCTAACACTCCTCCTACAACAGCTCTCCTCTAGTAGATGGGTATGCCACGGCTAAGGCCAGCCAAGGTAGTGCTAGCCATGGCCGAGACCTTGTGCCACCATGGCTGTGCTTGCTATGGGCCATTGGTGGTGTAACTTTGGCCCTAGCTGTATGGTTATAGATACCACAGCCAAGGACAACATCATTGGCAATCAAGGTTGCCAGTGGCTGTGGTAAGCTTGGCAAAACATTATCTTTTATGTTGAGAAAGGACCAATTCGAACATTAATTTAGTGAAAAAAAACTTAAGCGACCCACTTTAAAAATTAAGAAAGTTGGGTTCGCACATTGAAAATATTTGTGTTGCAAAGTAAACTTATAAGGACTTTTGCATTCGCACATGTCTTAGATTTAAGTGGAAAAACACCCTGGGATTCGCACTTAAAAACAATGCATTCGAACACTTAAAATTCACGTAATTCAAATTCAAATGTTTCCCGGCAAATTTCAAAGCAAACACGAACGCCACTGGCAAAGACAGAGGGAAAACGTGAGGTTCTCTCTAACCTCTTTCACATCCTCTGGACTGTGCAACTCCTCACGAGGCTCCCCTTCCGCTTGCTCGGGATCACCGTAATCGACAAAGAAGTCCTGGTCCTTGAGCCTTTTCACCTCTTTCCTCCAAGCTTGGATCTCCGCCTGAAGATCAGTCTCCCCAGCATCAATCAAGAAATTGTGCAAAATGCAACAACTCTTGATGATGTTGGGAAGGTACTTTGGCTGGATCCTTTGTTTTTGATCCAAGCATCTGAACTTCATTTTAAGAAGTCCAAATGCTTGCTCAATAACAATCCGAACAAGGTGGTGATGAAGGTTGAAAGCTGCCTTGGATGGTGTCGGGTTTGGAGCTGAGCAACAACCAAAACAAGTGAACAAAAGAAAGTAGAATGAAGAAGACTTACTTGTGTGTGGAATCATCAGATGCTGCTGGAGTTGGTACCCTTTGTCCCCCATTAGGTATGGCTTGATCCTATCGTCATATGCTAACACCGCGGGCGATGTCAGCAGCTCCCTTGCTACAATCTTGTTCCTGAGGGTTGAATTACGAAAAACCCTTATGTCGTGGACGCGTCCTGAAAGCAAAAAGAACATTTTAGAACCATCCACAACACACAAAGAAACATACCTGGCCACCCAGCATAGACACTGAGGAACCTCTTCTGGGCATCACAAACCCCTTGCAAGATGACCGAGTACTGCTGCTTCCGATCGTAGTAGCTCTCGCCGTCCAGTCTAGTAGGTCGGATGATCTCGGAGTACAGTCGATCGCTCCAGCAACATTAGGCACCTATTGGGCATCAAAACTTATAACAATCCAAAAAACATAAGAAAATGTACCTGTCACTTGTCGAAAGCCAGCAGCAACAGCTCGAACCTCCTTGGCAGTTGAAGGAAAATGAATCTTGTACCTGAGACACTTGACAATCGCCGCAGTAGTGTCCATGACAATCTCATGAGCTGTGGACTCCCCGATGCTGAACTTGTCCGCCAGATCCAAGTAATCTGTGTTCTTGGAAAGCTTGTCCACCAGCACCACACTCCTCCAACCGGTATCTTGCTTCCGGATCTCGCTCTCCAGCATGCCACAAATGGTGAAGAACGTCCTCTTCTCCATCTGAAGTTTCCTCCCCACATCGTAATACTCCAAAGAAAACTTACTCCAGGTGGTGACATTTCGAGGCTTCACCCACCACAGGCCGATGCAAAACCTCCTCCCAATCACGGCCCGACGAACCTCAAGTTCACGGTCTTCTTCCTCAGGCAGCAGGGCTCTTGTCATCCGCAATGTACATTTAAACCCTAAAGCAAAACGGTGAAAGATGAGATTCCAGCGCTGTGCCTTCGTTATGAGAACATGCTGGCTGCTCCTCCCTCCCCCGCAATCTTCGCGAGATGTTTTTCCCGAACGAGATCAATCAGGACCATGGTCTCAGCATGGTTCCAGTTCTTTCCCCGGGTTCTCTTCGCAGCAGCAGGTGCAGCAAAACCCGAGGTATCCACAAACTGGACAGACTCGTCGTCGAGCTCCTCCATGTGAGCATCCGGGTCTTGTTCCAGATCGGGGACGCTGTCATCTCCCTCTTCTTCATGACCCCGCCGGGAGCTCTCAATCACTCATGCATGCATGCAACCTAAGAAATGTAAACTCAAAGCCATCTCTGGTTCTCAAAGCAGTTGGAGCTCCCGGCACGCTGTGCTCCAGGGGAACTCCTCCGGACGTGGCTTGGGCTCCTCCGGGCGCGGCTTGGACTCCTCCCGCTGTGGCTTCGGCTCCTCCCACCGAGGCTTGGCCTCCTCCTGGCAATGATCCATGGCCTCCTCCTCCCGGAGAAGAACCGCGGCGTCCTCCTCCTCATGGCCTCCTCCTCCCGGGGCACCCCCTCCTCGAGCCGCCTCAGAACCATGGCCTAATCCTCCCGGGGCCAGATTCAGAGATCCGCGGCCAACCCCGGCCACCCCGCGCCCTCCTCCCACTCCATGGCCACCTCTCCCTCCATGGGCACCTCTTCCTCCTCCTGTTGGTGAAGATAGAGCACGAGCAGGCCCAGATCCAGCTCGATCGGCCCCATTTCCCAGAGCTCTGTTTCCTCTTCCAACCCTAAAATCGGATTACCTGCTTCCTCCACCTCCTCAGGCCTCTCCTCATAAATCTCCGCGGCTGCTGCCATGTTTTAATTCTCGGGCCGTGCCGCGAGATCAGATCTTCTTTACAGGCACGCCAAAGCCTTACCTAAGAATCTTCTCGAATATTTCCGGAATAAGTTTTAACAACTTCCCTTAAAATAAAATGACCCCAACACTTTAGATTTGGTCGGGGGTTTTGAAAATTACTTAAGATTCGCCTTTTTTTTCTTAAAATACTAATAATTTTCCCATAAAAAATAAGGGTAAGTATATTTCTTTATCTTAAGTTATTGTGCAAATAGGGAAAACGTAAATTTTGAACTTTAACTTTTGGGTAACTCTTGGTCCAGAGCTAAACTCTTATAAACATCTCTAAACATGCTCATTTAATTAACCACCAATGAACGGCAAAGATATCTTTACCAGCACTCCCCCACTAATTTTCTTTCGAAAATAAAAAACTAAAAGCAAAGAAGATATTATCAAACACTATTTTTTCAATGTTTTTTTTTTCTTATTTTCTACTATTAATTAACTTACAACTCAATCACACAATATTTGGAGCTGGAAGAATTGAATCCAGCTTAATTTCAGAGGACGGACAATTTTTATTTTCATTTCCTTAATTTACATTTCTTAATTTGTTTCTACTCTTCTTATACACACTTCTTCGGTGTATTTGGCCCATTATATTTAGCTGAAACACATGTACATGTACACTACGTACTAAGCCTATGATACACACTTGTTGCTAATTCTCAACGATTTGTGCATCTGCTGGTTGATACACACACACACACACACTGTGTAGGGCTAGCTCCATCCACAAGAGAACCTTGAGGTTGGGCACCAGAGGCTGGAAGAAGTCATCACAGGAGAGAGCAAGCAGGTCACCACTCACGACAAGCTCAAAACATCTGGAAGGAAGAAGTTGCCGAGGAACTGGTGAGTACGTCGCAAGAAACAAATGCTGTCGTCACCATCTTCCACACGTCTTCAACGTGCTCTAGGAGAACAAACCCAAAGTTGGTCATGCCGCAAGCCGCCATCACCTTGCTCCCGGAACATGAGGCGGTACTTGCTATTAGCAAAGAGTTTGGGTACCAGCAAGTCTTCATACTAAAGCTTATTATCTGAATCTGGGCACTCCGTTTTGGGGCACCTGTTGGCAGGTTTAGTCAGCATTCCCCGATTCTGCTACCAAAAAGAAATTTAAATTTAAGACAACGTGTCATCCTCCTTTTGCATAGTTTTAACTTTTAAATGTTAATTTTTTCTCTGTGAAGTTCAGGTTGACGGCGGTACTTTGACGAGGCATGCTCACTCAGCGGCCCATGTTTCTGCTTGACTCACGGAGGGTTTAAAACCAGGGATAACTGCAAGAAAGAGCACTGACGTGTTTTCAAAAGTAGTTGTCACAGGAACATCTGCCATCCTGGAACACATGAACCCGACTGGCATCTTTGCAGATGATTAGCCTTTTTTCCAGCTTAGAGATGAGAGCAGTGGCCGCATGGCAATCGTCACAAACTCGGAGATTTTTCACAATTCTGATGGTCTCCTTCTGGTGCGAGTTCACCAGAGCACACCCCAGCGCAAGCTTCTCACTGTGGCCGCACAGGTGATCCTCTTTCTCTTCCTCGGGTATGTCTTTTAGAACGTTGATCACATCGCTCGCGTACGAGATTGCGGCCAAGCTCAA